CAAAGTCAGTTTGCTAGTGTTTTTTCTAGTGTGCATCTAACGAGGTATCTTGATGTTGAGGAGCTACTAGTTAAAAGGTCCAAATTCGCGACGGAAATGTCTTCTTCATGAAGTCGTGCAAAATAAATCTTAATTGCTTCTCCAAGAAGAAATGGGCTACAGACAACACCGAATACTACTCGCCGATGACGAAAAATTACTTCCTTTCCTTCCGCATCAATCCAAACGAGTCGAAGCACATCTCGATCACTGGATGAATGATAATTTGTTGATGATTTGTTTCCTTATGTTTATTTATTTTATTTATTTTGCCCTTATTTTTGAGAGGGCGGAGTTTCAGCCAATGCTGCTCTATCAACCCAACCCACTATACATTTACAAATATCAATGCCCGAACCCGGATTCGAACCAGGGACCAGCACCACAGTTCAGCTTTAACTGAACTGCGCCACACGGCAGGCTATTATTACTATAATTATATGCGAAACTACTCCAAACCGGTGCTTCTTGAATCCCATTATGATGTTTGGTATGAGCTGCACAAGGTTCTCTGCTTTTTCTGAGCTCTAAACCTCTGCTCTGCTCTTTCGCCAAAATATGAAAATAAACTCATGCAGTTTTTACACAATATGCTTTCAATAAAATTATCGGTAATTTTGATGCACTTGTGCAATTAATTTAATTTGGAAAAGTTATCTTCATGTTGCGGTTTCAGGTAAAATTTTATACATATAATATGTCATGAAAGTGAGTCCACCTGACTTGGAGGCATTAAAGAGATACTCGGACGCTGTGCGTCCTCGTACTTTTCAATAAGCCTCCGCGTCATGTAAACGACCACTTTCATGACTTATTATGAAAATAAGTATTCAATTATCGGAATTTTCGGAGCTGCCAAACACGAAGCACTGGGTGTACGGTTTTTGATTTACCAAATCCATTGCTGTTGCGATTTTCTCCGACACCTCCATGTTTTGTTTCTTCCTTGAATTTTCCTAAACTTCGTTTCGTAGAAATGCGATGAGGTTGGATAAGTGCTGATGAATTGGTGTACCTGCTATCTCTTGTACCGACGATGAACCACTACTCCGTAACTAGATTGCGAATGAAGTGCGAATGTCGAACGTTGCCATGCCCGTCGGAGCTCTTCTGGGAGACAAGATTCGATGAGCGGAAACAGAATAGCACCACAATTTTGACCAAAGAACGTAGATGAGTTTCCAACTGATCGTACAACAAAGCAATCTTTGGTACTGGGAGCAGTCCCAGTACCACCATTCTTAATGACAATTTTCAGCAACAGCCTTATGTAGATCTCGATCTGCAGATCTTCTCTTCCGTAACGGGATTACAGCGCATTGCTGTAGTTTCCGATAACAGCAGGGTAGTCCTCTACAACTCACAAGCACTCGAACATGACTATTTGACTTAGTTGCCAGCTTGCGATACTCTATTTTGTCGGATGGATCAAGGGATAAATAAATCTTCATGTACCTTCTTGAACTGAAACCAAAAGGTTAACCATTGTTTTATGGTGCCATCAAATTTCCCAAACTCGATATGAAGTAACTTGTACTTCCGTTTGAACGTTCGACCTACGGTCGGTTTCTCTAAAGGTACTATAAGCAGGACGCGCATTGCATCGGTTCGGTTACGATATCATCGACCGGTTCGGATCGACTACAATGCGGAACCGTGACGGTCAAAACGCTTGACAGGCGATCGCCAATTTTTGCCTCTTCGAGCATCATGCGTTGTGGTCAATCCGAACCGGTCGATAATATCGTAACCGCACCGACGCACGCAGTGCGCGGATGCTTATTTAAATGTTTGCATATCAAATCGATCGGCGGGATCGAGTCGTGTCGAGTCGATCTGAGTCGATTCAATGTGCGTCCTGCTTTATGCGACGCACGGGACGGACAAACGATGAGTTTTCGGCACGCGATCCTTAGTCTGGCGTCCTATCACGGTCGCCACTAATGTTGAGACGTTGAGAGTTTACGTAGCTCTAAGAACTCGTGTGTTAATTTAAAAAGCAGACGCCAGGATAAACGCGGGTTTTACGTTAATGAAAATATTATTCTATTTGACCTGTGATTCAACACCTCAATGCACCATATATTGGACACGAATAGAAAGATGTCAATAAACACCTTCAAGCCTTAGAAGGAGAAAAAATTCACAGATTTCGCAATCTCTGCAACCATCGGAGACATTGGAAATGATAACCGTATGTAAAACACAAACATGATGTAATATTATCACGGGCAATGTGCGAGAATTTTAGATTCAAATTAACAAAACTCTTGCGCACTGTGAAGTAAGTACCGTATCGACAGTACCCGCGAGTTTTCCTGAATCTACCGATTGCAGTCGAGTACGGTACAATCATCACTTGATGCGACACCACTGTCTTCTTTTCTGCTTGACGAAACTGATAACTTCATACCCATACAAAACATAAGATTTCCAATGCTAAAATGTTAAGGCTTTAAGAGGGAAATTCAAATTGGGCAACAATTATTTATGGTGATCTGCCAACTTTTCAAAATAAACATTATCCTGGCATATGTTGATATCGTGACACAAAAACAATTAGGTATATGCTTATTTGAACGTTTTGTGTTCAGTCATTGCAGCCGCTTGAGTCAACAAAAAAACATATGTAAAGCAAATTTGCAAACTTATATCTATACGTTTGTGCATTGCCGGGAACTAAAATTAGAAAGCGCGTTCTGAGCTTACAGATAAAATATTATACACAAATTGTGTTAAACATATTTAGCAAATGGTTTGGATAATATTAGTAATTCGACTTATTGCTGCAATTTATAAGTTTAAATTTCATTGCAGATATTTCATACGTATTTATATTTGGCTCGCTTTGTTAGCATGTACTTTTTATCTAGCAAAAAGACGGACTTCCGTTTTGATGTCTAAGAATCAGACGAATGTGATGCTGCTTTAAGTTTTACTATAAATGCAATTTGTTGAAGGATAACGGTCACATTCCACTGTTTTAACATGAATCCACACAGAGTTGGCGCCATTTCAATGAACTGTATAAAAATAACATAAATCAACCATTTATTATTTATTATACAAAATGAATGAATTTTATTTTTGCTAATCCCATCCTTCCATCCAAGGATATTAAAGTTTTTTGTGAACTATAAGTCAAATTTGTTTTACTTCGGTAATGAGTATTATTAATCGTGACTATCTTCATATGTAAGAAAAGAACCTAGGTAGACTAATATGAAGATTTACGTTCGTCACGGTTTGTTAAAAGTTTATTCTTGGCAGCGGATGGTGTTATGAGTGTTATGACTTATGAGCTTATGACATTGACATATATTCCTGTTTCAGTTTCAACAAAAAGTTTTCATATACCTACAACTCCTACAAGACTTTTGCCGTGTTGTTCATTTGTCTTATCAGTATCACTTAGCTCTATACTAAGCAGTGCTCATCCCGCACTGCTCAACTTTGTTTCTGGATGCATTTAAAGAGATGGATTGTTGAATTATTGGTGTTTTGTATAATATTATTATACGTCAAGATCAAAATAAATTTTTTGTTTAGAAAACCTGGTAAAATGATCTATTTTTATAAAAAACAAACTACATTCCCGGATTCCTATTTTTTAATAACTTAGACAGCAGACTATGTTTTCAAAAAAATTTCCTTTGGGCGATTCTTAACGATTTATCTACTAGTAACTCCAAATCGTACTAGTTAGATTAGGTACATACCTATCCCGTAAAAGTATCCGATTACTGTGAAAAGTAATAATTCTAGTACTGTACGTATTTAGACGAACCCTTACTAAACTGGCAAAATTTGAATTAAATTCAATTTTTGTGGTACTTTCAGAAACATCAAATAAGAATTTCCACACCCTATGTGTAGGCAATAATAATTCAAAAATTGTGAATAATTACTATTGGCGATTCATGTAGGTACGTATTATACCTACTGTATTGAATTTACAAATTATCTTGATGATCACCATGAAGTTCGTCGTAGTCAATGTATAATAATCTCTCTGCAGAAACCCATTTCTCATTCCTTTTACATTAAATGGACCTGCACGAAGTGTGGAAGTGTTGGTATTTTGTGAAATTATATCCATTACAAATAATACTCTCATACGGAACAGGTGATCGCTTACGTTCATCTTTGCAAACGGGAATATCTTGGCATAAACATTTTTGGCTGTTAATCAATAAATTTTAAACTATTCACATTGGGATAAAAAACGTATAAATCTTATTTTAATGTATTTACAAGGGAGTTTTTATTAGTGGTATTTCGTTACATTAATTTAAATATATTTGAAATAAACAGAACTGGAACGTATACGTTTTTAGTTGAATTTCTTGTAGTTTTATATGCAAGACAACAAACGTACACAATCATAAACACGGTCCATTTATATTTGAAAGTTTTATTTGAGAAATATTGCTCTACAACTTGTCAGAAAATAAAACAAAGGTCAATAAATTATTGATAGACGAGATGTGTTCATCCCGCCTACGAAAGAATCTCATGCAATGACGATATATTTTGATAAAGTATATTTGAGTTGAGACGGGAGTGTACAGTTTAGATTTAGAGTTTTGTATTTTCTTAGTGCGACCTACTTCGTGTGTAGAATAAAAGTTTTGGACTTTGTCGTCTATCAAATTGAAGTTTATTTGCTTAATGCCAAATAAGGCCATTTTGTTAGCAGCGCATGTAGCAATTGCTTGGTATCTTTTAATTAATTTGCAAATTAGGTAACCTTTCAATTATATGTAGTTTCCTAGTAATTCCTCGTCCACCGAACTGAAATTGGTGCATCCGCGCACAAAAACACGTTTTTAAGTTCAACGGACGCCTGAGGCAATCAGCAAAATCTGTTTCGTAATTGCATGAGATCGACTTGTAAAAATCTATATTTTAATTACCTATATAATATTGGCAATTGATAGTAATTCAATCAATTATTACAGAATCCGGAAGTGCCGATGCCTCATGCCTCCGATGAACCGGATAACGGTCCAGTTAACCATCCCACAACGGAAACCGCTTCGAATTTGGACATCGTCGAACTCGTACTTCTCGCTGGACTCGTATTGTGACAAATGTGTATACTTAGTGGTTAAGTGTATATATTACGTTTAAGCAACTGTATTTATATGATTCAAATACCGTATGAACTATGACCCTTGTTTCATTTAAGTGAAGAACTGTAACATTCAGTCGAGATACCTATGTAACTTAATGTGCCATAGATGAGCAAACGATATACGTAATTGAAGCTCCTAATAGATGTAAGTTGTCAAATATGTTTTATAAGTTAAATATGGTGCAAGTGTAACTTTTAAGAGCAGTTGTTAAAAATTTATTAATGTTTTTAAATTATTATTTTTATTTTTTTTAATTTTAATGTAACATAATTAAAGTCGTGAAATTCGAGCCAAAAATATGTAATGTTTATTTTCAAAGGTGCTGTCATAATTATGTAAATTTCAAACGTGGAAATTTATTCAGATTGTAGTTATTTTATATACAATCCCTAAAACCGTTGAGTGAAGGACTAAAACTTACAATCGATCTCTACAATATCATTGTATCTAATGTAGATTTTTTGTTAATTACGTGCTAAATTTTGAGGTAAAGTTGATGTTTAGGCAGCAGTGAAGTATAGACACGTAAGCTTTGATGGCCCAACCACACTGGCGAATTGTTATTTTTTATTATATTGTATATCAACTTTCTTGTTGAGTTTTAAAATTATGCTAATTCAGAGCACCGCTTGTACTAACTTAGTTTATACTTTTCGATTGATTGTAAATTAATAGATTTAGTCAAAATTGTGTATATAAATTATGGAAGACGAAACCTCATTAAGAATTTATTAAAATTGCAGTGTGCGTGATGTACCTAAAATGTTTATAAAATTTATATATCTATATTTATATATAAGAATTTCGTAATGTTTTGTATATTATGTTTTTAAAAGTATTTAAAATTAATGACAGCAACTCAAAGTACAACTTTAGGTATACGGTATACGTATTGTACTTACTGCAAATAGGAACAAAGTACCTTGCAAACCGGTGTGTTTGGGCAATAGTATTAAGATATAGTCTTATAATCACAAAACTCTGTATACTAAGCTGTAAAATTCCGATAGCCTAAGGATATAGTGTATACTGTTTGCTTAGGGTATTCTTGTTTGTTTTTGGTTTTATAAAATATTTGTTGCGTATTTGTTGCTCAAAATATAGTTTTCCAGTGTGTATTATAAATATCTTATTGTCTATCGTCCGTGTATGACTGTAATTTATTTTAATAAAAAGTCATATCAAAGTTCGTATTTTCACTTAATTTAATACCGTATCAAACCGATGATCAAACTGTTGTTATGTTGTACATTCGCGTCTTGCTATGAAAGAATGTCCTGCGTCATTAACTTTGAGTTTGAGGTTTAAATAAGAAAGACTGAAGCAGCGACATGCTTTCATGGGAAAGTTATCCTATCTCGATTATTGGGTGGATGCTTCAAACCTCGCAGATATCTATTTATCTGTACAACTGTACGCAATGAATGGTATCAAATGAATTCAAGACAAAAGATTTATAGGTAGCTTAATTATCGCATCTTTCCGGAAATAATTTTGATTTGTTACGTTACTAATAAATGAGAGTATGAGTATTTTTGCTACTAAATGTCTTCAAATAATTAATGTCTAAACGTTGTTATCAAATAAATCAATATTAATAGGCGTGCTCTACACAGAGCCTTTGAGTAATTTTAAAATATGTAGATATTTTATGTAAGTAACATGGGATACTATACAGCCAAAAATCGATTCATTTTGTTTAAAAAAAATCCAAGTTAACATACCAAATTATGTAAATTAGATAAGTAATTTACTGCTTTGCTAGGATAGCGTCGACGTGTTGTAAATCTTATTTAGATTTATTCTTTTACCAAATGCTATAAAGTTGAGCTCTCTATAAAAATATATGAATATCTAGTTACAGATTCATTCTCGTTATTTTAGGAGGGTTATTACAAATATTAATGGAAAGATTGTGTGTAGGTATTTTTCACAGGATTACTGAATTGCATAAGTGGTTCAATTTTGCTAAATATAATTTTAAGGGAGCTGTGTTAAAATCGAACATATATTAGAACCGCAATGAATCAGAGTTTCAGTTAAATCCACCTTGATGAATGTTTTTGGCTTCATGCCTGTATAAATCCTCAATGCATACCAATGAAGTACACTGTCCCAATTTGAATAGCGACACAGTGAATATATGTATCTCTTCTTTTGTAGTCAAAAACCATTAAAGACAATGCGCAGAGAGACTTACATTAACCAAATGAAAATATTTCTTTATATTATATGTGGCATTAAATTACTAGTGTCGTTTCGTATCAAATTTAATATTAATTATATTCCAGTTATATAAACTAGACTATATAAATTCCCTCCCTTAAATTCTAAGTTCTATTCGTATAGCGAATTTACTTAGAATCAACCTATTGATGACTTACTAAATGAACCGCCGATTGTAGGTTTTTAACTATCAAATGTAAAGCTGTTTACTCCTTGGCTTTTACTCGTATATTGATTAGAAATACTGAATGCCTGTGATTCGTTTCCAGTGCTTCAGGCTATGCTCGTCTGTAAACTAAATTAATGAAAACCATAAATTATCTAATTATGTAACACTTTTTAAAGCAATTCTTATATCATTTATTAAAAGAACAGCGAAGGCACATAACGAGTTTAAATATGAATGATTAATGAAATCGATTTCTTAGCTTGTGGAAGTAATTGCGACACATGTTTTTGTATTGATGTAAACTACTTCATTTTATTGTGTAGTTTTTTTTTCATAGAAACTGTTTAGCGAACCATAATAATCATGTAAGTTGACGCTCAAGCTATTCATTATCACACGCATTTCCAACAACAATAAATTCTGGTAACAGTCTATTTGCGAGTCCCAGGAAGTTAACATTTTTATTGAAAGCATAAGAGTATTAATGATATGAGACATGACTGGTGTCAAACCTCTGTGAATTTGGCCCCCACACTCCATTTTAGGAAGCAAAATATTTCGTTTTTGAATTGGATTGCTTCTTTTATGCGCCCATTTGCACACAAATGTATTTTGCTTGCGCTCGGTCGGTTTCAAAATTACGATAAAGTCAGATTTGGGGGACCAAACTCATACCTCCCCGCAATTTTCCCATATAGTTTTTCACAGAGCAGATAGCAGAGTAGATACTTTCGTTTGAGTTGCCGCCGTTTTACAATTATTCCGAATGCAAAATTGCTTACTATCGCCACAGTTTTCCAATTTGTCGTTCTTTCGAGTGATCGTTTGTGTTTGGTTTGCGCATGTTTGCACTGAAAATACTTTTGTATTGGCCCCCGCTGTTTTCCAGTTATTCCGAACGCAAAATTCCATACTGTTCCTCAGTTTTTAAATTTGACATTTTTTGTAGTACCTATATGTAAATTGAAGATGGATAAAATTACGTTTGCCCATTTGAAGGATAATTCAGAGAAATAATCGATACATACCCATAAAGATATTTTGTAAGTTGACCCCTAGTCACAGCCAACTCGACGCTATCCGCCTGTTTTTATGCAAGCTGTAAAAACGGAGAGGGGGGTATGGAATTTTTTATTTAGAATAACTGGAAAACGCCGAGGGTGCAAACTATTCGCGGCGCAAGTATGCGCAATCCAAGCTCAATTGGTCGCTATGTGAAAACAATTTTTTTTGAGAATTAGGGGTAGTTATGAATTTGACCCCCCACCCCCACCCCTATTAACTTTCGGGACAACGTTGCCAGACTTTTCAGCATGGCTTGTAATTATAGACGGCTGTGGTTTTAGTGAAATTTGTTTATCCGGATTTCGAAAATAGGATTCGTTTTGATATTCGTACCCGGTGTAACACCTAAGTAAGTTGATTTCCGCATAAAAGTCGCTTTTTTTCAATTCATATAGTAAAGGTACGTTACTTTTAAAGAAACGATTCCATGGTTATACCGAGTACATATGATTTTACAGCTTTTTGCGTTTAGTTAGGTGTGTCATCTTGTCGATGGTATTTTACATGTACAGATAATGTGTCCCAGATTAATTGTATAGATTCGGTTAAATGGGCAAAGTTTTGTAGTTTTGTGTGACTAATATTTAGAATTAAAAAAAAATGTGCTATTGTTTGCGTTTTGTCCGTCCGTCCGTCCGAACGCACTTCTGCCGTTTCGCACTACTTCTAGGGGAATGGTCGTACAGACCTGCAATTTTTTGCAGTAGGTACCCTATACCTTTTGAGGGTGTGCCAGACGGGCATCAAATTTCGCTGTCTAAAAGAGCCCCCCCCCCCCACGAATTATTTCCTGAGATGCTGTTTTTGAAAATTAAACGTGCATAACTTTTACATACGACAACCAATTGGTCTCAGATTTTGCATAGGCATGCCTTTAGTGGTGCCAAGTTAAACTTCAGGAAATAGGGGGGGGGGGGTAAACACATGTTCTACCCTTCATGGTATTCTAATGAAAGCTTTCATCGAAATAAATTGGTTTGTACATTGTACAAACTATAACTTTCCCGTGCGACTCTTTTCGAGATCAGTGAGCGACGGGGCCTGAGGGGGGGGGGGGGGATTGGAACTACTTCACGGTACTCCAATGAAAGGTCTCAACGAAAGGAATTAATTTCTACCAACCATAGCCCTCCTCAACAACTTGCATTTCAATATTAATAATAGGCAACATAATAATATATTTGTAGACGGTAGACATAGTTGCCCCTGTCTGTTCTGACTTTTGCACAGGAATTTGCATCAGCGCTCTCAAAACGATGGTGATGGATTTTGGGAGTCGATCATTTCTATGCGATCGAGCATTTTTGCGTATATTAAGTTGCGAAGAGTAACTACAACATCAATTTTCGACCAATATCACGAAACGCCGCAAATGCTATTCCGATCATCGCTATTTTTTGGCTTAGATAATTATTATCGTACGTCTGTGGTACATACTCGAATAGAGTGATTGGGTTGGTGGTAAACAAACATATTTTAAAAAGAGGGCCGAATGCACTAAAAAATAGGTAAACATGATGAAGGACGTAAAAAGTAAGCAACAATTAAATGATGGCAAATTATTATCATAACAATTTGTCTATAAAGACTTTAAACGGTGGAGTTTTAGTTCGTGCAGGCACTTGTGTATAAGGGCAAATGACATAACTCCTTATGGAGCACTAATAGGTAGCTACCCTTGCAATTAATACACTATATAGGTACCTCCAAAGGTTTTTTATACTGCAGAATTTTCTGTTGGAAGCAGAAGATGACGCAATGTAATCAAACGTTTTAAATAAATTTACAACATTTTAAGATGTTTACGAAAGTTCTTTTGCATATAGGTAATGTTCTATTGGGATTTAACATTTACAAAGGTTTATTTCAATTTGTTTACATGCAACCTCTTTATGTCAAACCAACCAAATATTGTAGTTATTAAATCTATTCGCGATGCAGATTAACACCAGAGGCTCTGATAGGTAATTTACAGACGGCGTGTATTGGTGCCATTTGGTGGTATAGCGGTTTGTAAACATTGAGTTATTGTAGCAGGTTTTTAAGGGAAATTGTGCTAATTTAAGAGTGATTTGATCCTGACGTTTTGAGACTTGAATATATAACCCTATGACGACGCGTTGCTTGCACATCCAAAATCCTGAATGGATTCTAGAATCTCTCCGACGAGCACCTAGACCAGCAAAGATTCGTTAGCCGCGTAGCAGTGAAATCGTTACCGTTTTGGAAGAACGACCCCAACCTGTGGTTCAAAAAAATTGACGGCCTGACCACTAGGGTATACAGCTGGGGTATAGGAATACAACATGATGTAAGAAAATTCAAATTTTTTGCAAATTAGTTCAAATAAGTAATATTAAAGTTTATGTAGATTTATTGTATCTAATGTGTATAATAGGTATTTCATTTTTCGTAATAATTACATTTAATCATATACCTATAAACAAAGGTTTTGAAATTTTTGTCGTACACAATCCACTGTTTATCCATACTGCATGGCACTATTTCTAATAAGCAGAATCTAGTATAGAATTGTAGTTTTTGTTTTGTAAAGAATCTTCGAAGGTGGGTACTTAAGCATATGAATAGTGTCTAACTAATTAATGACCAGATATTTACAGAAAGTTACATTGATACTTAATTTAGTGATAGTAACTCAAATTAGACAGAATGTTAGATATCCAACAATTTAAAATATTTATAAACATAAAAAGTGGCACCATAAT